GTGGCTCTGCCTGGTGCCAGGCCAGAGCTTTGCCCCCCACCTCCTCCTGCCCCTCCATGTCACCCTCATCTGTGTCCTCCGGGGAGTGCTGACTGTGGTCCAGTGCGTGTGTGTGTGTGTCCCTGTAGCTGAGCTGTGTCTGTCAGGGGGTTTATAGGCACCAGACCCAAGTGCCAGCTTTGTTCTTCTCTGTGTGGCAGCCCCAAGAGCCCCCCACCCTTGGTCCACAAGTGACGGGGAGTTGGAGACCCCCATGTGCAGCCCCCTTTGGGCATCCAGCCCCGCAGCCTGCTCCGCTTTACACCGCAGTGACCTGTCCCTGCCCAACTGGTGAAGATGTTCTGAGCAAGGTGCAGTCAAGCAGCTCCCTGCAGACATGCCGGGGGGGCCCTGCTGGTATCCCAGGAGGGATCCATGGTCCCACACAACACTTGGGAGATGCTTCTGAGCCAGCCCAAGCCTGGCAGCCTCCCACCGTTATCCCACTATGGCCAGTCCCTGCTCCAGCGGGATTAGGGTGGCCTCCCCCCAGCTGGGGGTTGCTAGAAGGGGTGGGGAGGGTGCCCTTCTCCGGCCATCCTGCATCTGGGTATCCGAAGGTGTGTGTAAGTAGCTGAGGGGAAAGCAAGGCTGGCCTAAAACCGGGTGAGTAGGGGTGCTGCAGCTAGCCCAGGGCTAGCAAAAGCTGTGGTGGGTTATGGCTGTGGGCTGGTGCGAAGGTTTGTTCTAAGGGATGTGAGCACGTGGGGGAAAACCTCTTCCTCCACCATGGAAATAAAGCTGCACTGTGCTAACCCCACACAGCTCTTCCTCTGCTCTTTGACACATCCCATAGGTGCTCAGAGGAGTACCGGCTGCTCCCCAGGCACTGCTGGGCTGACCCATATCTCTCTGTCTGAGCCAAAACCCCACATCTCCCAGCACAAGCTGGAGCTGCTCCACAGGGGATGGGTGATATGCGGGATGGGAGCATCAGCGATGGGCGACCCGTACCTGGGCATGTGTTCTTTCGGGGATGTGCTCCTTGGCCACAGCATGTCCCCTGGGCCAGTGTTGCTGGGCAGAGATAGTCCCAACCTTTCCTCCTCTGCTGCAGGACCCATGGGCTGTGCCTGGCTGTGTCTTTTCATCAATCCAGGTCTCAAGTGTCCCCAGGGTTGCATGAGCACGGAGGAAGAGGCAAGAAGTCACTGCAGGGAAGCGACCAGCAGGACGTGGGTACCAAGCCCAGCACCTCCTCTGGTGACGCAAGTCTAACAACGCCTCTCACCTACAGCCAAGCCCAGGAAGCTGTTTGAGGCACATTTTCCAGCTGTGAGCTCCGTGGGAACTTGTTTTCCTCTGGTTTCACGACTTCACTGTCCCCTGGCCCAGGAAGGCAGCAGCTCCCTCCCTGTCGCAGGGATGCTGCAGCTCTGCAGCCCTCTTGTGGCACATGGCTGTGTCCAGGATGGGAGGTCGGGAAGAGCTTGTTCAAAATGAGACCATCAGCCTGGAACTAGGGTTTGAGCTGGACAAAACCAGCCGGACCCTGACCCCTGGACACAGGGCACAAGCTGTGGGCAAATGCTTGTATCCCTGCACACACTACTCACTGCACGGTCTATGCAAGCCCTGCCCTGTGCACAGCAGTGAGTGGTGCTGTGCCCCAAAGGGGGACGAGCCAGGAGCCAAGGGTGACCTCAGCACAGGCAGGGGGAGCAGGGCAGGAGCTGGGGGAGCAGGTTTGTTCCCACTCTCCTGCATCTCTTCTGTCTCCTCTTTGCCAACCCTTTCACTTCTGTCCTGGTGCCTGGAGCTGCTCCTCAGCCCAGCAGCAGTGGGGCGCAGACACCCATCCGTATCTGGTATCACTCTCCTTCCATTCCCCTTGCTGGGAGAGAAGAATGGACCAGAAGAGACTTTGCTGATGGGTCCATGCCTCCTCTGCCTGTTGCTCTGAAGGCTTCGTGGGGGACCCCAAAGCCCCTCTGGGTGGGAGAACTGGGTGAGGCTGTAAGACTGATTCTGTGTCCCTGAGGAGAGCAGAGAAGAAATCAGCTTGGGCTCCATCCAAGCTGGAATGAGGATGGGTTCCGCCACATTCCCAGGCTCCCGGGAGCACCCGGACGAGGAGGAAAACACAGCCCCACTTAACCCAAAATAATTTTATTGTTGCTGTTGCTTCTGATACAAAAAGGGATTCCACAAAGAGCCGCCTCCATGTGCGGGACAAGGGGGAGCAGGGGCTGGGATTCAACACTTCCCCCCTCCCTCAAAATAAAACCAACCAGCAAGAAATGTCAATACAATAAAAAAACCACAACAACCAAAAACGAACCCGGCACCAGAGAGGAAGGAAGGACCCTTGAGCTTTGTCACACACACATAAACCAGCTCTGCTCATTATTATTATTATTAATAATAGGTCTTCGTTTCTTAAAAATAAAAATTAAAAAAAAAAGCACCTGTTGGAAAACAAAACAAAACAGAAAAACAAACAAAAACAAAAAAAAAAAACAAACAAAAAAACCAAACCAAAATAATACTAAACCCAACCCCCAGCCATGAGGCCCCCCCCTGGGCACAGCTCTGGGACTCTTGCACAACCCAGAGTCCGGAGCTGCGCTATGGAAAAGCTTCTTCAAGTTTGCCATTAGCCCCAATCCAGTATCCATAGACTGCCCCCAGCCCATGTGGTGGCAGCATGTGGGAGACAAACCAACCCCCCCTCCCCAAGCACCAACCCAAAACTACAGGAATGTGCCCTCCTCAGAACCCTCAGCAACCACACGTGCGGTGGTTATCCATAACCATGGAAGGGTGGATGGCTACAGTGCACTGACGCTGACCATTCGATACCAGCTTTGGAGGGCTGGAAGCACCTTAGGTTTGGTGATAAGGTAGTTTTGTGTGTCACCAGAGTGAATTAGCACCTTTCTTTCCTGTGACGAGGCACAGGGTTGACGCTGAGCTGAAAAGAGGTTCATGTAAAACTAGGGAATGGCATTGCAGAGACCAGCTGGGTGAAGAACACTCATGAAGGAGGAAGAAAAGCCAGGACAGAACAGTCTGGACAGGCTACTTGAGGCAGCAGGGAGACCTCAGTTCACTTAATTCATATTTCCCAGACTCTTTTTAGTGCATTTCACTTGTCTGCATTAACCACAGACTGTCCCTCTCGGTTGTCACCTTGGCCTGACCAAGATGTATGTGACAACCAGAGCGGAGGCACCTGCAGCCCCTGGTTCCAGAAGTGCTCCTGACCAGGCGGGGATCTGGCCATAAGCCCCAGTCACACAAATGGGGTGGCTCAGAGTCAACGGTTGTTTGTAGAGTGAAGCTCTGGCTGTCCCTGCCTCTTCCTTCCTGCCAGGCTGCAGAGACACCCCACACACACACTCCCACCTCATTCCCAGCTTGTTCCTGCCTGTGGAAAGCTTTTCCCAGGATTTTCAAACACTCCATCAATGCTGGCCAGGAAATGTGCCCTGCAGCATCCACGCACATCCGGCCAAGCCCTCCATCCCCGCTGGCATGGGAAGCAGCCAGATGCTCTCTACCAGACTCATGCCATTTTTCCTGCCCGTTTAGTTTGTCCAACCACATTCAACAATGCAATAATTTGCCTTTCCCCAAAGCTTCTCCTCTGTATTTACATAAGGACACCTTAACCCCTGGACGTGCTGAAGCTCTGGGAAAGCCCTTCCAGCTCCAATCTTTGGTGGCCATGTGCACGTGCTCAGCATACTTCAATGTGAAAACCCTGGCTTCCCTTCAGGAGCTTATGGTCCTGTAGCCTGGCTGCTTCTTGATGTGAGGTTCACAACATGAACTGCCCCTTCACTCAGAGGTGATCTTTTCTGTTTGACAGAGGAGCCCAAAAGGACCAGAGAAAGACATGAAGAGGACAGAGAAAGAGAGAGCACAGCCAATGTAGGCATGGGATGGTTTCTGCACAAGCAAAGGAGGAACAAGAGGTGTTGAGAATGCACTAAGACCACACCGTGCCATAGCTCCCTCCAAAGCTGCCCCCAGGCCTCCCTCACGTTGCCTGGCCTGTGGGGTGGTGCATGGCCTGTGACCATGGAGGACAGGCAGCTTCCCCGGGGTGCCACCCTTGCCAGCTCTGACTAACAGTATCTTGGTTAAAAGAGACAGGCAAGAGCTGAGCAGAGGACTGGAGTCCCTGCTGCCAAGGCCTGAGCCTTTGGCACAGGTTTCCCGAGCTCGTTTGTGGTGTGGCTTGGTTTGGACTCGAGCAGCCCATGAAGTGGAGTTATCCCTGCATGGCCAAGGTGAGTGCTGAGCCCAGAGGGACATTTCCCATCAGTTGTACAGTGCAGTGGGGGAGATGGCGGCCGGGGGTGCAGCGAGAGAGGAGGCAGTTGTTTCCAGATGTGGATGGCAAGGCGAAGGACTGGACTGTCGGTTGGGTGGGTGGATCTCATGGATGTTAGTAGAGCTGGAGCTGAAGCTTCATCCTCAGTGCTTGGCCCAGCTCCCCTGCTAAGTAGTTGAGGTGGTTCTTGGCCTCTAGTTTCTGCAGTTCCCTCTTGCGGTACAGGGGCACGCTCACGATCTCCAGCAGGTAGGTGCCCGGAAGGATCTTCTTGCGGCCAAGGTGCAGGAAGCTGAGCCCCTCTTTTTGGTGGATGCGGAAGTAGCCATCCTCATTCCCATGGGAGATCAGGTACCGCACGCGGTTCTCCAGCGGCTCCACAGCTGGCAGGAGCTCCAGGATGTGCTCCTTGTGAGCCAGGTCAGAGAGGTTCAGCATCATGGAGAGAGGAGCATCCACATCCATGCTGGCCAAGTTCACAGTGTGATCCTTTGAAAGGAACCAGGCACGTTACTTACAGATACCAAGAAAAGCTCCTGGACAGGTGAAGGAGGACTTGATGTAGAGGAGTTCTGCCTCATAGAGTCACAAACTGGTTTGGGTTGGAAAGGACCTTAAGATCATCTAGTTCAAACCCCCGTGCCATGAGCAGGGACACCTCACACTAGACCGTGTCACACAAGGCTGGGTCCAACCTGTCCTTGAACACTGCCAGGGATGGGGCAGCCACAGCTTCTCTGGGCACCCTGTGCCAGCACCTCAGCACCCTCACAGGGAAGAACTTCTTCCTTATATCTATCCTGAACTTCCCCTGTTTCAGTTTAAACCCATCACCCCTTGCCCGATCGCTACAGGCCCTGATGAAGAAAGTCCAAAGAGTGGACTTTCCAACCCAAAGCAGCTCTGAGAATTTACTATGACTTCTATGGTCCTTGCTTTCCTTCAAGTGTTTCTTGGTACCGTTTGTGTCCCCGAGACTGAACCAGCCAGTACACAGCCCTCATCTTCAGGGGAAGAACCAATAACATCAGAGGTATTTTCCTCCCAGGGGCTGAAGGGCCCTCCCAGTCCAATCCATCCTGCCCAGGCCTGTGAAATTCTTGGGGGAGCCTTAGACAGAGGCCAGAACTTCCCACCAAGGAATAACCTGTTATTTATAGTGACAGGTTCAGTCTGGAGTGAGACAGCAAGTACTTGACAGTCCTCCATAGCCCTATGGGAACGTTTCCCCTGTTCCCTTGCAAGGAAACATGTGTGTTTCATTCCTTGGTTGCATGCATCTCCAGATGTTTGTGGCTAAACCACACAAGTGTGTGTCACTTAAGATTGCCCTGACCTTCTCTAATGCGTTGTGAAGGACCTTTTATTCCTGCAAGACTTCTGAACTCAGTGGCATTGGCAAACACTCAAGCACCCAGCATGGGCAGGTACAGAGTGAGCTGCCATCTACCTGGACTGAAGCAGCTCCACAGGAATGGGTACAAGTGCATGGGACTTACTCCAGGCAGTTATCCCCCAAGTGACCCAGCTCTTCCCTTGCTCCAGCCCATCCAGGATGCCATGGATTTCTCACCTGGTGCTTCTCAGTGCCATTGACACTGCGTCGCTGCCGACCCCTCTTGGGGTAGCCATTTATCTTGCACTCATAGCAGGTTTCAGGGGAGAGCAGGTTGTCTTCATCCTCTTCTTGGGGGGCAGGAAGGTAGGAACCTTTCCCAAAACCCAAGCCAGAAATGCAGTGTCTGGTGGTAGAAGAGCAGAGAGACCCATCTCAGATTCATGCTTTAAGAAGGAAATCTTACCACTGTTCTCACAGGTTCTCCACATGGCACCCAGAAACACATGGAGGATCATGCCTGGGTACAGGACATGGCTTGTAGAGAATGACTTGTACACAGGACATGCCTGAAAAAGATCAGGCCACCCCTTGTTTAGATGTGGCCAGTAGGTTTAATCTGTCTGTACCCTGGACTAGACAGACCTGCAGAGCATCTGCTACAATGCTGGCAGATGCACTAACCATTGGATTAGCGAAATGGGAGAGAAGATGCACATTAGCATTAGGATCTTGTGATGGGTGAGGAACAATTTGGCTTGGAGAAGCTGAGAACTGATGTGGAAATGGGAGCTTCCTGGCTCCTGGGGCTCCTTTAAAATGTATTGGTGGCAGAGAGCAGAACCGTGGTGATGGAGCGTGTCTGGGGGTCCGATGCACTTGCAGCCTGCAATATGCCCCTGGACCATACAGGACCATACCTCCTGGCTGCTCTCTTACCCTTGTCCTGCTCGGAAGTAGCCTCCAGGACATCCACAGAGGTAACCTCCATCTGTGTTGGAGCAGCCGTAACTGCAGGGGCTGCCGCCTGCTGAGCATTCATCCACATCCTGGCACCCACCAAAGGCTTGGTCAAAATCAAAGCCAGATGGACAGACACACTTGAAGCTTCCCAGAGTGTTGTAGCAGGAGGCAGAGCCACAGGCAGTGGGGCTGGAACACTCGTTTTCATCTGCACCCAAAGACAGAATTAGTCAGAAACTTACTGGAAGGGAGCTCCTGTGCTCCTGCTGCTCCCCCACCCCAGATGGCCAAGGACATCTGCCCATGGCCATCGCTGAGCTGGCAGTGAGCTCCCTTCTGAATAGAGTAGAATCATAGAATGGTTTGGATTGGAAGGGACCTTTAAAGTTCATCTAGTCCAACCACCCTGCAATGAGCAGGGACATCTTCAACTAGACCAGGTTGCTCAGAACCACACTGTTGTGGCTGCCTGTGAGACCTCATCTCATGCAGGTCCCTGAAGGACTATCTTGATTTTTGTATCCTCCTGCAATGCAGGGAGCTGCTGACATCAGGAGCACTGTGAGCTCCTCACTCTGCAGAGCAGCTTCCTGACATTCCCCACTGCAGAAAAAACCCAGGGCAGTGCAGCTCAGGGCAGGGGCACCACCTCTGGGCACAGGCACGGTCTGTCTCTGGATTGGAAGACCAGTGCTGGGTTAGCAGAGATGAACCCAGAATCCAGTGGCAGAGATGGCCAAGGGTGGCTGGAAGAGGCATTTGGGGCTTCAGTGCCCTCTATCCCCCTTCCCACAAGACCCCCCATCCCACACTCACCTACACACTGGTTCCACTGGTAGTGCTGCACGTAGCCCTGTGGACAGCCGCAGCGGTAGCCTCCAAGCACGTTCTGGCACCCATGCTGGCACCGGTGGTTTCCATCACACTCGTCCACATCTGCAGCAACGGAACCCAGATGGTGGTGAGACAAACTCTGCCTGACTCATGGGCAGCGCTGGGGGCACAGAGACCATGTGCACATGGTACGTGCCTGGCAGCCAGCGCCCTTGAGGTTGCTTACGTGGGTTCTTCTGCCTAATTCTGGCTCTGCAGCCTGGAACCAAGTGATACCCACAGCCCCAGCGGATGGATGACACATCCATCCCCTCGCAGCCCCTGCTTGGATGTTCTTTGATTTAAGGTCTGGCCTGCACCCTGTTTGGAACAGGCTGCCCAGAGCAGTGCTGGAGTCACCATCCCCAAACCATGTAGACGAGGGCTCAGTGCCATGGGTTAGTGGTGGCCTTGGCAGTGCTGGGAATGGTTGGACTTCGTGATCTTAAAGGTTTTTTCGAACCTGGTTGATTCTGTGATTCTGTTAACAGATCTACTCTGCTTCAGGCTGCCTGCACGGGACACAGGGGGTTTTTTTTAGCATAGCATACGATGGGTTTTGGTCAGCACGAGATCTCCCCTGATGAGCTACAGGACCATTCCTTTCCCAGCTTTGACTGCTATGGCTGCAGCACTGAGACCTTCCTCTGCTTGCCTTAGAGAGTGTGGATGAACGAGGAATTCTTCCACGTGGAACATGTGCCTGTCAAAGCCCCAGAGACACAGACCCACCTTCGCAGTTGACTCCAGAGCTGTCCAGGGAGAATCCTTTCTGGCACTCACAGTTGTAGCTGCCTGGTGTGTTCAGACACTGGCCCTTGGCTCCACACAGAGAGGGCTGAGCTGTGCACTCGTTATTGTCTGCAAAACACCGGTTCCCACTTGCAAGTCCATCCCCAAGGCTGTGGCTTTCTGCAGCTCTGCAGACAGCCACCTTGCACCCTGGAGCTTAGCAAAGTCTGAGTAGCAGACAGACAAGTCAGATGCACAACCCCAAGGTCGACTGGAGAGGGGCAGTGCTTTGGAGCCAGCGCTGAAGGGCTGAAAAGACTCTCCTGTGCTTAAAGCTGACCCATGGAGCCTCTACTCACCGATGCAGGATGAGTGGTGCTGAGTGAAGCCCGGGGGGCATTTGCAGTTGAATCCTCCAATAATGTTCACGCAGAGGAACTGGCAGTTATGCTGCTTGGTGGAACATTCATCCAGGTCTAAAGCAACAAGCACAAGAACACGTGTCTCAATTTATCTTATTGAGAAAGCTTTGTGGTCTGAGTCTGTGACACCTGCATGTACATGGTGACACACAGTGGGTCTGGGCAGACCATGACCTGACCTGGACCAGCCTCAGGAACAACACACACAAAGTCCTTACATGCAAATCACAAGTCCAGGGAGCCTCTCCCCACCTCATAAACAGGCACATTTAGAAAATGTAGAGATTCGTCTCTGTTTATCCTGTAATCCCCAAATCCCAGGTCCCCCTGGATTCTTAGGGCACCCTCCTCGCAGCCTGGCAGCCAGCACCAGAAGGAGCCCTGACAGCGACACGCACAGCCCATGATGATAAGGCAGGTCTAGAGTGTCTGTGGAAGGATGAAACCCTAATTCATCAGTCCACGAGGGTCCAGCCTGGCAGCTTTTTCCATATCCAGCTTTGTCCTGTGGCTGAACAGTAGGACCTGACTGGTCCGTTAACCAGCTCTTGCCACCCCCCTTCAGCTGCCAGAGATGAGGCAGGGTGTCTGCTGCCTTCTCCTGGATGAATACCTTTGCAGATTTTCCCGTCTTCTTGCAGAATGTACCCTCGGGGGCAGGAGCACTGGTAGCTGCCTTCTGTGTTCTTGCAAATGAAGTTGCATGGCTTAGGGGACTGGTTGCACTCATCCAAATCTAGACTCGAGAGACAAGACACATCAGCATCCACAGGTTGTGTTGCTGGACTCTGTCCCCACCACCCCTTGGACCAGTCTACCAACAGGCTCCTGAGCACATGGCAATCCCAGGTTTCATGGCCCCACATAACTAAGTGGTCAGATGTCCCTATGATTCCAGTATTCCCTGCCCCAGATAAATGCATCTTTTCCACTCTCCAGGAAGCAGGTGAGCAGAGACAAGGGCTTGGAGGGAGCACCTCAGTTTGAGCCAGCACAACAAACCTAGGAGATATCCTGCAGGAAAAAGAGCTGGATCAGCTCCCTGCTCAGACATGGGATGTTGTGTGGCCTGGTGGATCTGAGTGACACCTTTCCCAGGCTGAAGAGATGGTAGATGCTCCTCTTGAGTACTGGAAGCATCAGGGATAGGGCCAGCCCCTTACTTCTGGAGCTTTGTCACCTCTGCCCAGTAGGGAATAGCAGCCATGGCTCTGACAAAGCCCATAACTTTAAGCCAGGCTGGAGGGCCCAAAGCTGGAGGAAGGGAAAGGATGTTTAGAGAGGACTCCTGTCGTGGTGCTCAAGGTTGTATCTGCTCTACAAGGCACAGAGCTTGGTTTTTGGGAGCCAAGGCCTCTTTTCCACTCTGTGTCTAGGACACACAGCTGCTGGCATGGTCCTGAACACCACCTCAATACTGGAAGTATGACACATCCTCAGCCCCTTTCAGTACTTCCTCAGATGCCTGCAGCTGTGATTCCAGGGGTGCCTTTATGTCAACATCTGGATTCCTAATGTGGCACTCGGGCTGGGTGCCCTGCCAAAGAAAAGTTTGACTGCTCATGGCCTTTCCTCTTTGGATCACACTTTCTGCCAGTCCCTGTGATCCTGGGATCAGAGGGAGAAGACAAGGAGCCTTGGTCTTAAAGAGTTAAACAACATACAAAGACAGGCTGAGAACACTGGGGCTGTTCAGCCTGGAGAAGAGAAGCTGCTGG